TTTTTTTATTTTTATTGTAGAAAATGAGGTCTCGCTGCCCAGGCGGGTCTCGAACCCGCGGGCTCAGGCAATCCACTCATCTCAGCCTCCCAAAGGCGTGGGATTACAGGCTGAGCCACCGAGCCCGGCTAATTTCTCATTTTTCATCATAGATCACAGTAACAACAAAAAAAGTTCAAGTTATTTTCATTATTGTATAGTTTTTGTTTTTTTCTTACACTTGCAGATATGCTCTTTTAATTTATTTCTCAGGCTTTTTGTGCCACTTATATCTTATTTGCCCCTCCGTATCCACTGTACACGCTTTTCTTGTAACTCAGGAGACTGATATTTACAGACTACAGTTCCTGCCCTTTACCTTCTGATTAAATTAAGACATCAGGGAACCAAGTCCGAATTTTGGAGGCAGGGAGAAGAGTGAAGTAGGATGCTTGACTTATATAAAGGTACACGGGCTGGCCCTTAAGATTGCCTTTACCAAGGGGATCTTATTCTCTGTTTCTGAATTTCTGTAACTTCTGTTTTCTGAACTTTTCTAGTCTAGGAGGTAACAACTCTGATGCTGGGTGACTGCACTTTCCCTTGCAGTTATTCTGCACTCCAACTACATTTTAAAAATATTTCTTTGTGAGAAAATCATCTTCAAACTATCCTCATTTTAGTGGGCCATCAGTTTTAACGATTTTTCCTTATGTATCCGGTCGTATAGCATATCGGCTTGTTGTTGACCCTAGCTATTGCATGGCACCCACTTTTTCAATATATGACTGGATTTTGATTTTAGCATGGAAAGCACTCAAAAATATAGACCATTTTCATAGGATACATGTGGTTTCCGTACTGCTGAACTGCCTCACACTTTTGCAAACTGACAAAATTATTAAGTCCTGTGTAACTACTCCACATGCAGCTTTAAGATTTTCTTTGCTAGCCGGGCTCGGTGGCTCAGCCTGTAATCCCGCGCCTTTGGGAGGCTGAGGTGAGTGGATTGCTTGAGCCCGCAGGTTCAAGACCCGCCTGGGCAGCGAGACCTCATCTCTACAATAAATCAAAAATTCAGCCTGGCGTGGTGGTGCATGCCTGTAATTCCGGCTACTTGGAAGGCTGAGGCGGAAGGATCACCGGAGCCCAGCAGGTCGAGGCTGCGGTGGCCGGGAGCGGCCACTGCACTCCAGTCTGAGCAACCGAGTGAGACTCCAACTCAAAAAAAAAAAAAAAAAAAAGATTTTCTTTGCTTATGTTTTGCTCTTTACTGTTCTTAGTTAAACCCTTAAAATCCAATAATTTTATTACTAAACATTTTGCTATTGTCCTCTTTAAAATTGCTAAGAAATGTCTGTTGATTATGCTCCAAATGGAAGGAAGAAAGATTCTTACCTTACACATTTTTAACTGACTTTTAATTGCTGTTGGCTCTGATGTGGTGGTGGGTTGGATTTTCAACCAGTTTTCAGCAGTAGTTGTCATCTGCTCCAATTGTTGTAGCTGATTATAGAAAGTGATGATGTTGTTCTGATACTCCAGCCAGTTAAGTCTCTCACTTAGCAACTGGCAGAACTCGATCCACCGGCTGTTCAGTTGTTCTGAGGCTTGTTTGATGCTGTCAGCATTAACACCCTCTAGAAAGGAAAAAATAAATAAGTATATCCCCTGAAGCCACAGACTGAAAGAAATTATCTGAACACCAGTGCATCTCAATTATAAAACTATTCACTATATGAAAGACTTCAAGCAAAATCACTTATTTCCTAAGATATAAAATATAAAGATGATTTCTAATTATTTATTGCAAATTACTAGAATTATGTTTCATCAAATAATGTGAATGTTACAAAATAATAAAGAGACACACAATGTAGAAGAGAAATATATTTAAATAAAAACAAAAGTGGTCAAAGCTCTGATGGGGGTAGAAGTTTGACCATGAACAAATAACATTTTAGATGTTTTCAAATAAATGTTAAATATCATTTATATTATTCAAATATACTTTCAAAAACTAACCTGTATTTTTATTTTTAAAATGTGTCTGGAATTAGTTGGAATGTTATTTGTATGATTTTTTTAATTTAAAAATCCAATATTAATTATTTTCTGTTTCTTCTATAGAAGACCATAAATAAACAATCAGCTATGAATCCAAAAATATTAAAGCACGTACTTGAAAAATATTTTTTCTAATATGAAAAAAGATTTCATTAAAAATGTTAAAGTTGGTTTAGAAGTTTTAAAAATCATCTATAGAAAGACTAAATCAGGGAAACCCTATCAAGGGAAAAATGGAAACAAGCACATCATTATCATCATTATTCTTCTGGCATGCCTATTATGTGCCAGAGAATATGCTATGTAGTTTCATATGTAGTTTCTTATTTAATTTTTTTCATAATGTGATATAGGACTAGAGCAAATCCAAGTAAATATTACCTTATATATAGCATGAAAATATAGCACAATCACACTCTGCTATGGGTGAAAATATTCAAACTGTATAAAGTTAGTTCATAAAATTTAGACTGTCATAGACATATTGGTTTATTTGGCAACTTCCTTAAGAAATGATATTATATAGAGAAAATAGATTAAATATGATATTCATTAAAAATATAGCTACATTACCACTGATAATTTTCTTATATTTTTGAAATACAGAATATTTGAATGTTTCATATTCTCACATTTATCCACAAGGATCTCAAAAGAACACAGACTCATTACAAGGTTCTTTCTCTAGGTTAAAATATCTAAGGGGTAAAGTGATTTGGTAGAAGAGCAGGCTACTAAGAGAACCTACTTTTATACAAGTTCATTTTACCTAACTTTCTGGTAACATGATTAGTTAATGGGAAACTAAGTTCTTAAAAAGTCTGAAGAACATTCTCTAGCAAACATAAGGTCTATGGTTTTGCTAACTTGTGCATGCCTCCCACTTAATCCTTTTTAAAGACTTAAAAAATATAGATATGTTTCAACAGCTATATTATCTTATCCTTTTTCACTTCCCTCTGTACAGATAGTCTAATGTTCTATTTGTCTTAATCATGTTAATGCTGCTAAACCTTATATCTCAATTCATTTGAAACATGACTCTAAATTCACTAATTTAAAAGTATGACATAGCTGGGCTCGGTGACTCAGCCTGTAATCCCGCGCCTTTGGGAGGCTGAGGTGAGTGGATTGCCTGAGCCCGCAGGTTCGAGACACGCCTGGGCAGGCGAGACCTCATCTCTACCATAAATCAAAAAATCAGCCGGGCATGGTAGTGTGTGCATGTAATTCCGGCTACTCGGAAGGCTGAGGCGGAAGGATCGCTGGAGCCCAGTAGGTCGAGGCTGCAGTGGCCGGGAGCGGCCACTGCACTCCAGTCTGGGCGACAGTGACACTCCAACTCAAAATAAATAAATATAAATAAATAAATAAATAAAATAGAAGTATGACACTACCCAGGATGACACCGAAGGAAAATACACTTTGTAAATGTTATTGGCAACTATCTTTTCCTCCTTATTTGACTGATGTATTTTTTAAAGATATAATGAAAAATAAAAAGTGAAAAGAGAATATATGCATGTTCCACATATCTCTCTATAAAGGAAGTCCATGGCTTGCAGGAACTAAATATTATTCTAGCACCTTACTAATAGTTAAGGAAGTAATTGTTCTAATTGAGACATTTGGACCTGTGGTGTGATAATACTATTTGTGATAATATAATGTTGAGGAGTGATAAAACATTGTGCCAAAGTATGTTTTTGGGGATGTCTCTAAGTAACTGTAGTTGTAAAAAATGACCACGTTTGGTATAAAGCAAAAGAGAAGTACAGAAAGCATCAACAACATGGGCATTCAGTTTGGAAAAAAAATTATTGTAATAAAATGTTAACATTTCCGAAAATGAAAAGACATCATTAAAAAATACACAGAGGATAATTTTTAAACTATGTTAGATAATACTTCAAAAATGTGAACTAGATCTAAATGATCAGATGTTTAGGAGAAATATTTTCAACACGTGTTCAATTTGAACAAGCACTTAGAAGAAGGAAGTCCATAATGTGTGACAAGTCAATATAAATTTGACATTAAGTTGGCAAATAAGAACTGCTGAAGTAAATTAAACTTCCCGATGGACTGATGGTAGATTGAATCTTATTTATCTAACAATTGAAAAAAAAACCCAAAGTTAATTAATTCAATATGAATAATATGTTAATTGTATAAAATGATAAATATAACTACAGTAAAGTATCAATAGGTTCTATGGTATTTATTAAACTTCAGGGATAGGTTTTAATGAATCATTGCTGACCATTGCACAAGGTTCAGTGTTGTGCCAGAAATGATGCAATCTAAATATCACTGTAAAAAATTTTAAAATAAAAGAGAAAAGTCAATTTTGTATAAATTCATAATACTGAAATTTACAGCACTCTACTTATTTGCATATTGATTTCTATAAGTGAATATAGATAATTAAAATGCAGTAATAAGTAAAGAATGACTTCTATATTAGAATAAAGGGGGAGGTAAGCAGAAAGCAAAGTAATTAATAGTGAGAACTCTGTTGTTACCCAGATCTGAGTTCAAATTTAACACACATTACCAGATGATGAACTTGGTTTCAGTGATTTAATCTTGTTGGATCTCATATTTCTGATCCATAAAATGAAGCTAAAAAATAGCATAGGCCTCAGGATACTTACGAGGGTTCTGAGTTAACATATGTAATGTAGCAGGGCTCAGTGGCTCAACCTGTAATCCCGCATTTGGGGAGGCTGAGGTGAGTGGATTGCCTGAGCCGGTGGGTTCGAGACCCGCCTGGGCAACTTGGTGAGACCTCATCTCTACAATAAATTAAAAAATCAGCCGGGCACGGTAGCGCGTGCCTGAGATTCCGGCTACTTGGAAGACTGAGGTGGATGGATCGCCGGAGCCCAGCAGGTTGAGGCTGCGGTGGCCGGGAGTGGCCATTGCACTCCAACTGGGTGACAGAGTGAGACTCCAACTCAAAAAAAAAAAACATATATAATGTAATTATAATGAAAAGTCTGATACATACCAGGCAAACAATAAATATCAGACAATGTAATATTGAGGAAATGAAACAGAACATTCAGGAAAAAAGAAAAGTGTACAGATCTCTCAAACATTTAAGTTAAGGGGAGATGGAGTCATTTATGAAAACTTTATAATAATATTTAAAAATTAGGACTTCTTTCATGTGCTATGAAAATAATATGTGACGCCGGGCTCGGTGACTCAGCCTGTAATCCCGCGCTTTGGGAGGTGAGTGGATTGCCTGAGTCCGCAGGTTCGAGACCTGCCTGGGCAACTTGGCGAGACCTCATCTCTACAATAAATCAAAAAAAA